CTTCGTCTATATTTTGTGCAATAATTCAAAATATCCCAGTAAAAACTATTATTATTCGGCCACGCTGTACTAAATTCGGATTTTTTTAACGAACGGCGTAGTTTGCGTCCTGAATATATTTCCAGGGAAAGAATCCACCGATCGCTATCTCTCCTTTTCCATTCAAAATTTATACAGGCGAAACGTCTCCTACCCGTTACGTAACAGAAAGGAAAAAAATAATAATGAGGTCGGACATTCTTCTTTATTAAAATTCCGCGCGCGTCCGGGCCCAAACGATAATATTGTTAAATTAATTGGAAGAAATTTTTGTTTAGCTTCCTTTATTCGGGTCTTTCACAATATTTTCGTGGTTGTCGTCATCGCCGGTGGAAGATAACGGCGAGCCCATGGGAAGGAGACCATGTGCAGTTGACTTGACGTAGGATTGAATGTTATAGTGCATAAATAATTATTATGATGCTCGTTATTTATGCACGGACGTTCGTCCGATGGGCCACGATAACCCCGCTACGGGCGTGCCTTTTACGATGTGGAAAAGCAAAAAACGTCGATTTTCTAGAATGCGACATTGTGAATAAAATTTGTATAAAGCAAGACGATATTACGTGAACGAAACCAGAAGTAAGAATAGGGTGGGAGTGGGGGAAGTAGGTTTGGATAACTGTCGATTTTTATTTATAGGAAGCCACATACTTTTTACTAGTCAAACTGCTTTATTTAAATTAATAATCGTAATAATAACAAGAGATAAGGTTAAAAACTTTCTTAGTTGTCTTTTCCTAATTTATTGATTCATGGTTCCCCTTGCTCGCTTTGATACTTTCTCACCTCTTTCAACACATACCTATCCTCTATCATTCGCTCTTCATTTCCATACCTAAACTGCCTTCTTTATATTTCTATACTATATCATTTTATAGATATGTAAATAAATTATACTAAAAGTCGAAGATTGCTTAATTTTCTTTTTCTCCTTTCTCCCTTAAGCTTTTTTTTTTGTTACCCATTTGTTTTCACCAAACCTACATCTTATTTTCAGTTCCACACTGACATTTTATGTCTTCTTTTAACCAATACTTATCTCCGCTATTAATTTCCTCCTTCGTAACCCTAACAATCAACTTTTATTCCCAACATATTTCCCTATAAGAAGGACTAGTAGGTAATGCTTCTTGGCTTGGCGTAGTTCTTTGCATTTTGAGTCTACGTTTGATTTTTGTGACGTTTTTTTTGCTTATTCGCGTCCTTTTGCTATCGCTCTATCTAATTAATCATCCCCTACTGTTTAAATGCTTGAATTTAACGGCTTTATTTCCTAACTTCTAAGTTTTTCCTTTACTCAGTACTTAATTAGTTTTTATGCACCCTCTCCATTTCTTGTTCTTTCCACGTGTTACAATCGAAGATCATCTTCCTTCCTTTTTAATTTTCACATTTCCCTTCCCACATAATTCTTTTTATCATATAATACCCTAAAAAAACTTGAAATTTTTTTAAAAATCCCAGGGGAAGGAGGATTTGGAATGTGGGATTGCAAAAGTTTGTGCTAGTCTAAAATTTCTTGCGCCGTAGATTTTGGAACGCCAACACTATCTTCAATTTTTCTACAAGAATTCAGTAATTTCATTTGCGAATAGGCGAAACTAACCAAAACTAAGCAAATATTTTGTTATTGTATTGTCTACATAATAAATTTGTTCTGTGCAAATTCATGTTATATTTTTCAACATTTCGAAATTATTAGTTGGCTCCCATAATATTTAATTAACAAATTAAATGCCTTAATAAAATTGAAGAAGTAATATTCAGTAGTAGCTATTCCATTTTGAATGTGGACGGTATCTTTCGTTTCTCAAAAAAGTAGCACCATGACCCGCAAACCGCAAGCCTCTAGAAGAAGATCAAATTCCTTTCGAATTTTATAGGGTATTTCGTTTTTTTTTATTTTATCAAAAAATCTTTTTAACAAATTTTGACGAAACTTTTTGCAATTTCAATGGCACTGGATGAAGACTTGATAATTGTTTTACATCAAGGGATAACAGATGAAACTGAAATTGACGTTGTGGTTGTTTCCGATGCCACCATGTAACGATAGGACTTTTCTAAATGTCATTAGATAGAGCATGTTATCTATCGTAATCTACAAAAAACGAAGCAATTAACAGAAACCATTAAAGCCAACAAAAACGTGAACACCTTAAAATCAAAACCAGAAAAACAAAAATGTAAAAAATAAAAACTGAAACTGAATAACTCATAAACCCTTTTGGGCAGCACTTCTCCAGGTCTCCTTTCCTTGTCCACGTCTTTGTCTCCTAATTGGTCCACGCAATCGCCATCTTAATCTTTTCCACTTCCTTCCTTTATCCATTTTTTGACGTGGCACATGTTTTATTTACCGTTCTTAGAACGTTTACTTATTTATCATGAAAATTAGTGATCTCAAGCATGGTCAATGCAAATGTTATTCTTTTATGTGCAATTTGGTACTCTTTCCGTCCGTTGAACGAACAAAAAATTGCCTAATTATTTTTTGACGCCGCCATTCTTGGAAACGTCCATCACAAATTTATAGCCGCCAAATGCGAACTGAGCTGGCGCGCCTATTTTACAATGTTGGAATTTCGCGGACAAAGAATATCAATTTCAACTAATTGGTTCCATTTTGTGCACCCGAAGGAATGTTCTTTATGTGTTTTTCGACTCTCGTCTTTTTTTCTCCCCCGATTTTCGAAGGTTTCAATTAATTAGGATCGGCGGAAATTTATGGTTCGAACACGCCGGCACTGGTTTTTATCTCGTGTGAGAATTATGCTGCTTGTCTCGCGGAAGATGCACATACAACGAAGCTATATATTTTTTTTCGGCAGCTCGAGGGTCCCGCGTGTTGAATATTTTCGTATGCATTAAACCGTCTTGTTTGTTTTTTCGAAAAGTGGTTTGAAAACAAGCGACTTGCCTATACTTACAACTTCACGGGACTAAAATGTAATGGAAGTAGAGCGTTCCGGAAATACATGGAAAAACCTTTCTGATTGAGATACATTTTAAAGTCTCTCCTCTAATATCATGATCCTGAATTGTTGGTCTATTTCCATGTTTGTAGTGTTTAGGTATGTGGTTAATTTCGTGAATTTTTGTCTTGATATTGATTACATAGTTTTTTTTTATTTTGTTAAATGTTCTTTTTTCCCGGAATAAGTGTAAAAGCAACTAAACTAACTTATGTTAGTTTTGTTGCACTCTTGCCCTTTCAATGTATGCATATGTTGCAATATATATTTTCAATAAAAAAAAATTTTTTCAGTTTGTGAACCGTGAGTATACTCTATAATCGACCCGTAGGAAGGACTGCAAATCTTGTTACTTTCGAAAATCGATGAAATCGAATTTTCGCAAGTATAAAAATTTTATATCCCGGTAACGGTAAGTCCTACGGGATCGCCGTGGGTACAGAAATGATCACCGTTCGAAAATAAAAAAATTTGTCTGTTTGTCCGTTCTCGTCTTTTGGTTTTTCCTAAATAACTTTCGAAATTTGCCTTTTTAACCCTCCACGAGATAGATTAGCTTGTAAGTAATGGCCCTGATCTGACGCCGATATGTTTTAAAGCGATCGACTTCATGTTTAACACATATATGCAGCCTTGCCCCGTGACGGAACCTATTGAAAACGGGGGGCTGGGGGGTCGGGAAGTATTTTAAAAAAATGAAAAATCGCGTGTGCAAGTGTCTACAAAAAAAACCATTTTTCAAAAACTGTTTACAAGACCAACAAAATTCTTCAACCAGTAGACGAAGAGGAAACGACTATTATTGAAGATTGGCAATAATTTCAAATCTGTGTTTTAGATGTCAGTTTCTTATATATGACGATATAGCCCATATAGACAGCTTAAACTTTTGTATATACGGTTTTTAAGTATTGTATATTGTAATATTGTATTCGCAATATTCGGTGCAATATTAAAAAACATAATAAGTGCTCCAAATTTGCAGATATCGATTTCAGTACATAACTTTAAACTTAGAAGAAATAAAGTAAATAGAAATAAAGTAAATAGATTAATAGGCCCCCTATTTTATCAAATGTTCAATTGAATACCTTCCTGGACCTCAGATCGAAGTATTTCTTATTTATTTACTATTTATTTATTCATTTAGTAGGAGAAAAACTAGGTTTTCTTCTAAAAACTGCAAAATTCTTTTAAAAGACTTATTTGTTACATTTGTTTCACAAGTTGATTAATTTAAGAATGTCATTCTTTCGGCAGTAGGCAAGAGTTCATTAGCATTGATTTCTCAATAGATAATTCATCTTTTTCAAACACCCGTTGACAATCCAATAAGTATTTTTGTTTTCACTCCCGTCTGTTAATTATTTTGATGTTCCTCAATTTATTTATTGTTATAACTATTATAATTATCAATATTTGCTAATATTCCTCTCACGCTCTACAACGTCCAAGTAATCAATATTAATGTCGATTGATTAATTGATTATATTATTATAATTAAAGACCAGCTGTGTTTCTATCTTCTGACACCACATAAATTATTTAAGCTTTTAATTGCCTTTGGAAATTCAGCAATTACTGGAGATTCTCTTTTTGGGGTTCCATCTCTTTTCAAAATTGTATATGTTGGAATGTTCGCTTTGTTATTAATGCATGAATTCCTTAAATTCCTTAATTTTTCAAATTCTTGACATTACTCACCTATATATTCTTGCTTGGAAAATTTTTGTTTCTAAATTTTTAGGATTAGCTGGTATTACTGATGTAAAACAATAGTGAGGGTGGGTCTCGAAGCATAATAACATCTATTTTCCGCAGCCGCTACCAAAATTGGTTCAAAATGAACTCAAAATAGTTGGCAAAAAAATGTCAGTAACATTATGAGAACCCAGTAACTAGGGGCTAGGAAACTGTGTAAGAATGGCGATAAAATATAATACACAACATATACGCAAAAGGGAAAGTACTACCACTCACCGGTAGTAATCTTCCTTGCAGTAAATATTCCCATCTCTAGCGAAACACGTAAGCTCGGTGTCCAGAGGTAGTTTGCACTCACAACACTTCAGGCAAGATGCGTGCCACTGCCTGTCCACCGCTAGCAAATAGTACCTATCTTGAATCTTGCCCCCGCAACCGGCGCAACAGGAAGCCTCGACCACCGAGGAGCCCCCGATGCTCGAACATGGCGAGGACGTGCCTCTATCCAAACTTTCGCGCTCTTTTAACATGTCGTTGAGTGCGGCGAAATGAGTTCAGTCACTTCCATCAATCTGTAATGGAAGAAATATCAATAAACCCTAAGTTTAAGTGTAGTTTAAGTCTGTAAGTGTAGTTGAGTCTAGAAAGTGATCATAAATTTTAATAAACATTAAATAGCTACTTTTCATGGTACATGTCAACCCATTCAGTGGAACTGCCAAGTTTGGGTATTGATAATTCAAAAAATATTATCTCCAAAAGGTCTCTTTGATAATGGGCGATTTGTTTTATTTTCAGATTTCCTGCTGCGGCTGTTGAAGATGAATCGAAATTGCTGACTGAAACTGAAATTAACTGAAACTGGCTTGTATTCTACTCTCATATTGGTAAAAGGTGAAGACATGAGCTGCGGTTAAGATTGTTTGGTTGTTTCTATAGTATAGATTTCGTTTTCGTTATTGTGTTCGGCAACTGCCTTAAGTTGTTCTTTGATTCTAGTTGATATATTTCGTCCACTCTCTCCAATGCCGCATATGCATGGAACGCTGTAAACTCCTGGTACGTCATTGACGGATCGAAGATGATGAGATTTTTGGACATGCGATAAATCTGGTTTTGACGTTATATCTCTTACGAACTTTGGATATCTGGTCAGTGATATTTTGGATGCAAGGAAGGAAAACAGTGGCAAGTGTAGGGTTGCTTCGCTTTGGAAGGTTGTGGTGAAGTGTATTTTGTGATGCGGAAGTTATTAGAGAGGAGAACAGATGTAAGATGTTTTAATTCTGGGTTCAGTGGCTGGGGTTGAGATAGTTTTACCGGTCTGTAAACAAGAGAGTTGATAATTGATGATTTTTGAGCCGGATGATGATGTGGTGTGGTGGTACTGGTGTGTGTGCGTAGCTTGTCTATAAACAGAGTGACTCAGTGCAAGGTCTGACTTTCTATTGATAAGAATATCAAGAATAGGAGATTATTAGTAGTTTTTGAAAGCTTTTGTATAAATTTTGGAAAAAAATGAGAGCAAGCTCACTGCAATATAGCCCTTTCTTTATCGTTATTGCCCTTACAACTGTCTCTTTCAGTTCTATTGGAACAAAATCCTCCTGAAACTAAATCTTAAGACTTGACAGGTTGATAGGAAGAACAGGTCAGTGATACGCCACTGAACTGAACCTCACCTGTTTCTAAATTGATTTGCTTTTGTTAGTTATTGACTTTTTGATTATTGGAATCAAAAACCATTATATTATTATTATTATTATTATTATTATTATTATTATTATTATTATTATTATTATTATTGTTGTTGTTATTAATTTCAAGCAAAATAATTCCTAATATAATAAAAAATAAAAATATCAAGTCAAGGGAAATGCTTAAGTTAGTGTTTAACAATATTGATGAATGACAATTTTTTATTTAAAAAAGTGATAAGACCCAATATTTGAAAACAAATAAGGATATCAGTATCAGTAGTAATAATGTCCATGGTATTTTAAAAACAACATATTTTACGTTAGGATAAATATATTGAGATGCGGTTTTCACTGAGTTGTTGGACCCTTATTTGCACATTGCATCCTCACTACTTTCCTTTTAGAGATAAAAGAATAAAAAGCATCTAACACAATAGATTTGAATTTGTTTAAGCTTTAAAGCGGTGTTCACTCTATCATAAATACAAGAAAACTTCGCACAAAACGGGTTTTAAAATTCAAGATGGCCCTCTGGTAACCATTTCAAGATCTCAAAAATTGTTTTTGCTCTTGGCCGATTTGGTCAATAATTTTTTGTTTCAAATGTTTAAAAACATCCGTTCGCAGTCAAGAATTGTGGAGGCGATAGGGGAAGGTTTGAAACATTAGCCGATAAACACGATTACCTTCCGTTGAAATTTCAAGCCGAAGTTGGTATTTGAAAAAAAAAACGGAAATGTTTGAACAAAAGAACGGATCAAAATGCTGCAGCTTGCACTTCGCTTAGTTCATTCCCAAGCCAGGAGACGGCGCTGCGTTTGTTGACCACCGTCTTAACACGAGAGTTTCCATTCGTTAACTACGTAAGTATTAATTTAAAATAATGCACCAATGCTTCCGTTTTAGTGGTGGGTGAATTCGCAGTATTTAGCACCATCGTATTACCTGAATTTCACCAAAATCCGCACGCACACTGCACTCTTCAAAGGGAGAACCCAAACGTGAACTGATAGGAAGTTGCTTTCGCGCTGCTTTTTGTAGAGAAAACGAAGTGGAATAAAAATTAAGACCCACTTTGATGTACGATTAATAGCCGTTTAGCTCGGACCGTTCGAATAATTCGAAACGTCGCCGTCGCGTCGATAGGAAGTCTCAACTTCCGGGTTTTAGCGGGCGCCGCGACTACTTAGCTGAAGAAATTCACCCAGATACCGGAGACTATACTGACGATTAATATGGTGCGAGCATGTCCAGTTTACCGTGGTATAAATAACATTTTCCTGGGTAAATGACTCACAAATATTTGCCTAGGCAAAAGCCATTTGCCTACAACTTTTGTCTGTGACGCCGACACCGTATTTTCAATGTAACTTGAATTATACTTACATAAGGAAAAATAAATATGGTTTAATGCTCTAATTGTATCAATGAATCTTCTTTTTCTATATCCATATATCTTTTGTTCCTTTTACATACATCTACAGCTATCAGTCTTCGTTGTTATTATTCCGTTCAGTATTATTCAGTATCAGGTATACCCGAGACTGGTTTACGACCATTTCCCGAAATAATAATTTTAATTGAAAATCGAATTTCGAAATGGAAGACGGAATAACACCCATAACGCCCATAACACAAGTCCACAGTGATTTTGATATTTAAAAGCTGTTTGATTATTTGCTCTATCACGTCAATTTGTTTATATACCCCAAAAAAGGTATTTTATTAATATACCTATCTATGACATTAATATTTACGAAATTAAGTGTGATTTGGCAACACCGGATAATATTCGATTTCTCTGCAAAGCAATTGAGTTGGGGCAGAAGCGTCAATACAGCGTTGTAACCTGTTTATGCGTATTTCTAGTGTTCTAGAACGTACAAATATAGAAAGAAGACTTTGAGATAGTCATCGGACTCTAGAAAAAAACCCACACCTGGTAGCAAAAATGTGTGTTTCAAATGTTTTTGCGAGAAATCTCGAGCCATATCTGATGCCAAGATAAAAGAAGGTATTTTTGAAAGTTATGCAAAGACAAGGATTTTCAAAACACAATGACCAATGTCGACAAAAATGCCTGGGTTTCATTCAAAGAAGTAGTTGATAAGTTTCTTGAAAAAGAACGAAAACTGGGAAATTATTGTTCAAAATATGTTTCAACACTTTCATCGTCTAGGTTGTAATACGAGTTTGAAAATGTCATTGCAGTTTTCACATTTCAACTATTGTCCTGAAAATGTCGGAGCAGTTAGCGAAGAACAGGAAGAGCGGCTTAACCAGGGCATTAGACAAATGGAGATGGAGCATAACGATGATGGCGGACTACTGCTGCTGCTATAGCTTTCTGGGAAGAAGACGAAGATTTCACTCAAAAAGGTCTGAGTAAAGTTTTTTTTTACTTTTTTTTAAACTAGGATTCCATTATTTTACTTTAACCTTTCGCGATACAAACAAAGGCATAGAATAGTTTTCAAAATAAAAACACCTGTCAAAAAGGTTAATTTTTTTAGACCTGTGTATTCACACGCGTCTCGGACGGTTCAAAAACGCAGGAATAAATCGGGACGGCGCTCGAATGAAGTTCCGAGGGCAAAGTAATTGGTACATGACGCAAGGCATTGTTAAAAGTCAATAAATCCCCGCGAAGGCGCAATTACGATCGACAATTAACAAATTAACCGGTCTACGTTGTCGACGGCGCTGCGGGTTTGCATAAAATGCCTGTTTAAATAGTTCTAACGGCAATTCTACATCACCGGCCGATATAAACAAGCTCGTAGAAATGGTGATTGTTTATGTGAGGTAATTTTGCGCCTGTCTGCAGCGATTAATGCGATTTGCATGTCCGAGGTGTCTCGTTAAGCATCAAAATGAAGAAATATATAATTTTTTCTTGGTTAGTGATTAATTAAAATGAAATTACCGTTATGAATAAGGGGCTATACCTTGGGCCGTATTTTATAGGCCAGAATATCCAGAAGTATGGAAACGTGGTCAAGTATTTCTAATATTTAAAAATAGCGAAAGCCAAAACATACATACCGATGCGATTTATACAGAATGTTCTATGTTTTGTTATTATTAAGTGTTCAAAAGGTAAAAATAGACTTATTCGAGTTTTTGAATACACATGTATTCAAAAATCACATCACCAAAAACTCTTGCAGCAGCATTTGAAGATAATATTAAATTTAGGTGAATTACCAATAGAATTTTGGCAAATGTTACAAAATTAGTTTGACAAGCACACAAATTGTGTTTATTTTGCTGAAGACAAGCAAATTACTTGTAAATTTCGTAATAGTCTTCCATGTTGCTAGGGTTTGTCGTTAGAATTTGTTATCAGCATGATAATTAGTCTTATTGCATTACATGCATACTTTCCTCATATGAGTATTCAAATCCTTAATCAGGATTACCTCTTAGAGATCTTGGTGTTATTTTTGACTTTAATTTTGCTTTTAAAATTTATCGTTTAAATAATTTAGTAATAGTATTCCAAGTCGCTAGGTTTGGTCAATAGAATTTGTAAGAATATATAAGCGTTTCTTCAAAATCTGTAAGCTGAAAGTTGGAATATAACCACAGTTTTGGCTGATCACCTAATCACGTAATTAATGCTGTTTTAAGTGACTAGGTACAGAACAAATGTTCAACACTTTCATGCTTATCATATGAGTATTTAAATCTGTGTTATGGATACCTACATAGCTGTCAGAGATCTTGGTATTATTTCTGACCATAATTATACTTAAATTTATTTATCGCTTAAATAATTTAGTAATAGCATTCCACGTTGCTTTGTTTTGTCACTAGAATTTGTAAGAATTTATCAGTGTTTTGTGAAAAAAGTTCAGAACAAATGGTCAATGCTTTTATACGAGTATACCTACATATCTGTCAGAGATCTCGGTGTCATTTTCCAAATATCTTAGTGTCATTTGAAATTTTACCCTTAAACTTAAATTTTTTCATCACTGAAATAATTTAGTAATAATATTTCCAATATAGGTTTTGTCACCAGAATTTGTAAGAATTTTCTCAGAGTTTGAACACATTATCACATAATTCATGCTTATCATATGGGTATTCACATCCTTGATGAGGCTTGCTTACATATCTGTCAGAGATCTTGATGTTATTTTTCACATATGTGTGTAATTTTGGAGCTTACTTTTAAAGTTAATTTTTTTATCACTTAAACACTGGTTGGCAATGAAATCCTATTTTAAAAAATTTTATGATAAACATAATGTTTCAAACGTGATTTTTTTTTATATTTCAAAATTTTGTTTTTTTTTTTCAATTTTTTCATTCGTCAACGTTACAAAAATGAGTTTCAGGGAGTTGTAAGAGAAAGGAGGGAAGTGCCGAAGGTGATTTTTATGGCAGTAAATAAGCGCATGCGCAGTATTCATTGCGACACTACAACAGTTCAGTGAAAACTTGTCGTTTAATTGTTTACCTTTTATATCAAATATTTTGGTAAGTTTTGCATAAAGTTCATGTTCTCTACATTGGATTTAAGTATTTGATGTGTAGTTTGAGTTTTTTTTTAAGTAAAGCCAATAAATATAAAATAGAAGTTTGAAAGTTGTTTTAAAATTAATTTTATGTGATTTTAGGTTACAAAATGCCACGGACTTGTAAAAATTCCTGAGATTGTTTTTGCTACATTTGTGGGGAATAAACCGCAGCGACATGTCATGACCGATCTGGTTAAAACAGCTTATAAGCTATATTTTGGATTTTCTATCGATGAGCGAGATAAAAGTTGGTTGCCAAAGAGAGAGCCTCAAAGTCATGAGAAAAAAATAGAGATAAGATTGTTTATCTGAACGTCCTATCTGCAAAGAGACCAATTCCTCGTGATAAAGACACTCCACCTCCAGTGAGAAGGCTGAAAATAAAAATATTTCAGGTCTACAATTTCAATCGAGTTTTCTTTCTGATAGTACTTCATCTTCATACACTTTATCTGGATCTTCATGTCCATCCACAGAACCTCATTTACTCGAACAAGGCGACTTAAATAATGTTGTTAGAAACTTGGGACTTTCAAAATCTAAGGCACAGTTACTCGGATCAAGGTTAAAACAGTGGAATCTATTGGCTAAAAGTACCAGAGTTTCATATTTTCGTACGAGGCAAGCAAGTTTTACAAGTTACTTCTCCAAAGAAGATGATTTGGTATATTGTAATGATGCTGCAGGGCTTCAAGAACTAAGTTTTCCAGAACATTCTAGTGAATGGAGACTTTTTATTGATGCTTCAAAAATAAGCTACAAGCATGAAAGAAAATTATGCAAACCTTGAGGTATTACTTGAGAAAATTGAATATTCTCAATACCCATGGAATATTTGTGCTGATTTAAAAGTTGTCGCTATACTGACTGGACTACAAGGAGGATACACAAAATTTTGCTGTTGTCTTTGTGAGTGGGATAGCCGCGCAAGAGACAAACATTACAAAGTAAAAACCTGGCCATCAAAAGTTTGACTCCTGGACTTAAAAATGTTTCTCATAAACCGTTGGTGCCATGCGAGAAAATTTTTCTGCCACCCCTTCACATAAAGTTGGGACTCATAAAAAACTTTGTGAAAGCTATGAATAAAGATGGTGCAGGTTTTCAATACTTAAAAACAAAATTTCCTCGAATCAGTGACGCGAAATTGAAGCAAAGAATTTTTGTAGGTCCGCATGAAGGATGAGGTTTTTGATTCGAAGTTGAGCAAAGCAGAAAAAAAAGAAAGAAATTTTCTTGGGAACGCAAAAAGTGACAACTATCAACAAATCATTCGGGAGCTACTTTCTGCTTATAAAGGTTTAGGATGCAATATGTCACTCAAGATCCATTGTTTAGACTCGCATTTAGATTTCTTTCCTGAAAATCTTGGAGCTGTATCAGATGAGCATGGTGAAAGGTTTCATCAGGATATAATGCAAATTGAAAAACGACAAAGGAAAATGGTCAGCAGCAATGCTTGCTGATTTCTGTTGGTCAATTCACCGAAAAACTCCAAGGGAATCTATGAAGAGGAAGAAAACTACTAAATAATTTGAATTCTATCACTCCACAATGAAATAACTGACGATATTTATTAGTTTTGTTAATATAATTTAGGATTTTTTACTGTAAAACTCAAGCCGCCACATTTTTTTATTTCCTTATAATAATTTATACTTTAATAATATTGTTTTGGTGTGTGCTACTTATTTGTATATCAGATCCCGTGTTTAGAGCATACAATAAGATCAATTCATGCATGAAAACAAGGAGAGAAAAAAAATTTTTTTTGCAGACCGGTGTAATTTAGTAATAATACTTCAAGTTAATAGTTTTGATCACTAGAAATTATAAGAATTTATCAGTGTTTTCTCAGAGTTTGAACACATTATCACATAATTCATGCTTGTCATATGAGTATTCCAATCCTTGATGATTATTGCTTACATATCCGTCAGAAATCCTAGAGTTATTTTTTACATTAATTTTACTTTGAACTTCAATTTGTCTATCATTTAACTAATTTAGTAATAGTTTTTCAAGTTGCTAAGCTAGTTTTGTGAGGCATACGTTTTACTTTTTATCCTCTTACAGTAAGAGGAGAAAAACAGTCTTACTCATAAAATAGACAACAAATACAATTTTTTTAATTATTTTTCATATAGGAGGTTGGACCTAACTTTAACTGTATTGTAATAATTAATCAGTACAATTTAGTAGTTATTATAACTGATATCACAAATTTAACAATAGGATTTCTAATCACTACGTGGGAGTTGTTTTCATATAACTTTCATTTAGAATCACTCCAGAAATTGAATGGGCTGATATTCATTATTTTAGTTGTGGAATACATTTTTCATCAACAAACCCTTTTTTAGGTTTTTACAACAACAATATCACCCACCTAAATTTGGGAAAATACACCTCATACAAAATTATTTTAATTTATTCGAGGATTTTAGGTGTTACATTAAATAGACCGTCTGTCGAATATCCATAAATATATAGTAATAAAACGAGTAATTCCTTTCAGTTTGGCCAAATATAGTTTCCATTTTTTCGATTTTATAGGATATATTAAAAAAAACGAGCTTATGGTGGATGCGCCGGTGACCGTTGTATTTTTAAAATTCGCCATCCGATTTGCGAAACTCCGAACCTTTAACCGACGTTCATAACTTCGACCCGCGTTCTCCGACTCACCTTCGAATCCGACCACGCAGAAATATCCCAAAACAACGCACCGCAACACACCAAACTTCTGGCCACTGTTAACCTATCGATTCGGAACGTGTAAACTGCAAAAGATGTGTAGTAAACCACCAAAAAAACAACTGAACAAGAGCCGGCGGCACACTGTGTGTGCGTTGCACTTTCCCGACGGCACGGGGAAGCATCTAAAAGGGAGCTCTGCATCTCTTTCTCGGGGATGCTGACCAAGCTCCGCCCGTCGTCAGAATACGGTCGCTGGCCACGCCCCGTTTTGGCGTTGACGATTAAACCGAGTCCAATGGGCCGCGACACCGATGATAACTGTCCCCCCACTCTTCTATCGCGCCAAGGATTTCAACACTGGGCACTCTCCTTGTCGCCTGAAAGCAGTGGTCTCGAGCGGTTGGGAGGTAATAGGTCGCACTGTCAGCGTTAAATCACACAAACCCAGTTAGTACTTAGCATGTTTTTAGGTGAAAATTAGCGGCGTATTGTGTAGTGTATATTGGTAATTATACCGGGCATTGCGGAAGGGAACATATGAAATCCCATGTAAATTTTTAGGCGCCCGAATATTGTACATTTTACATTTATTACATTACATTATGATCGGCTCGTGTACTTAGTTTGAATAAATTTTAATAACCCAATCTTCAGTTATTGAAGTAAATATGACGGTAAAATTAGAACACTATAGTTTAGATAATAAATCAAACAGCACACGAAAAAAAAATACTTGGTTCAAATAGGTTACGCTCCATTTTAATATAAAAATGTCAAATTCTCAATATTTACGTTTCTTTTAACAAAATGAAACGCTTCGTTTGAGTATAATAGACAAAATCTTTGGCACGTTCAAAGAAAAGATGCCGAAATGTTTTCTTTTCTGGTAATATATGCTGCAAATTTCATTGAGGTAGAGCTATAACCAATTCTATTTTCTTTTACCATAATTTGGATCATATTTAATAATTTATAAAACAAATAATATGATATCTACTAAGTTTTCTTGGATGGAGAAGTTTTATTTTGAATGAATAATCATTGTATTACACTTCATGTGCGTGTCTATTATAAATCGTTGTTGATGTTTGTCATTCTAAGAAAATGAGACTTACCTATTTGTTTTGTTGTTTGTATTTTTTCATCTCTAGATGCAGGCGCTTTCTCTCCTTTTTGAGAGTATTTATAGCAAAGCGACCGGTAGGATTTACTCATTTGCCAAGTTTGAATAAATTTTAATAAGCCAATCTTCATTTGTGATATGATGGCAAAATTAGAACACTATAGTTTAGGTGATAATTCAAACATCACACGGAAAAACTAAAATACTTGGTTCAAATAGGTTAAGCTCAATTTTAAAATAAAAATGTTTTAAAATTGAGATAAAATTTTAGATATTTATATACCAACTTGAATTAAGCATATACCGATTCGTTTCAATGAGCATCATTTTATATGGTAACTTTTAAATTCGTTAGATATATATTTTAAAATTTTCACATAGGTGGTAGATGACCATAATTGTGAAGATAATTAAAAGCAATTTTTTTGTGAAATCTGTTTATATTTATATTGTGATTAAATGAATACATAACACTGGCGTTCCAAAATATAGTTAATTTTTAAAGAAACATAGGGTTATAAACGAAAAAACATGTTCTAGAAAGTGTCTGCTATGGCCATTTTTACCGTGTTATCCGGAAGTGATGGCCGTAGATCGACGATATAGAAAAACTTATGAAATACTTAGCAATTTGTTTTTTTTTTTTACTTTCTGTCACATAGATTACAATTGACACACATGATCCAGTCAACACCCAATTTTGTGTACCGGTAATCCTCCTCACATCCTACGCACAAATTTTCTTCAAAAACTTCACTTCCGCTTTCCTCGCATTTCAGATTCATCATCTTCGCTACTTGATTCATCAATTTTGCTCGTTTTCTTCTTCGATGTTTGTTATTTATTTTGATATTTTTGTTGTTTTCCGTGGCCTTTTCTCTCTTTTTCTTTACGAACTGTCAAATGTTCGGGTAAGTCAAAATATCTGCTACCTGCCTATCTCTCTTTCTAATAACAGTTACTTTTTATGGGACTGGTATCATCTTTTCTGTTAGTAGTTTACTTGTGCTGGTAAACTATCACTTTGCTGTTCTTCTGCCTTCTTGTGAGCTGAGCACTGTAATGTAATTCGTCAATGGATAATGCGTAATCTGGTATGACCTCTCGATTAAATGACAGGATTCTCAGCAATCCTTGGTAATGGAAAAAAGATTATTTCAATTAGGTAACACATCATCAAAAAACAGAGATTACCGAATAATCGGGAAAGATGACCATGATTAATTCTAGATATGGCCGACTCTCCCGGATTTCCGGTAGAGGACATAGGCCCAAAATGTTTTCCACGACCAGTATCACAGCCGGAACATCGCACTAACCAAATTCAACGAACACAATAGTAAAAATACACATCTGGTTTCAAAACTATACACTAGATATACTCACTGTCATATATTTGTTGAACAGAAATTTCAAAAATCTAATTTCATCACTTTATTCTTGATTTTCCACGAAATAACAACCACAGATATTGACATATCGAACGTACACAGCGGACTGATCACATATTGACAGGCTATTTTATCGTAAAATTCATCGCCAACTTTAAATTTTATTTTATTTTTTAACACCTTTTATTGTACCTTATAATAAAATGTAATGCAGTTTATAACCTTTTTTTATTAACAAATGATTTAAAATAAAAGAAAAGTAATCTAATCTAACCTTAAATACATTAAAAATAAAAACAAAAGCAACTACTTCAACACTGTGTCATGACGTTTCTTGGTGTGTGCCTAGTTTTTTCAAAATAGATGGAACCATATACCAGATACCAAATTTTGGTACTGTATATAATACATACAAATAATTTTTATTATTATTGATCAGCTAGCCTTTATGAGAACTTGCCACTTGTCGGTGCAACTCTCTCAAAAATTCGATGTGGCTCGGAACATTCTTAAACAGATAGCTCCATTCAGATGTATTTGAGAAAAACCTACTCCCTATAACATACTTAAAAGATGTAGGTAATTAATGCAGTAATAATACAACTGACAATGAATCGAATGATTATGGTAGATCCGATTCGATAGCATCCAAACAATTGAAAAAAAAACAATTTAGGTTTAACCAGTTTTAGTTAACTTCTGTAAAATACCCAATTGCACACTAGCGTGCGGGAACCATCACTTTACCACGTCAGTTTCGTTTTCTACGGAACCGAGCCGCTTCGGACATTTCCGGAATGTTTACCGCACGGGTTTGGGAGCAATCGGATGTTTTCGGAGCTTTTACCGCGCGGCTTGCATTTTGACGTTTGTCAATTCTGACGGTCAAGTCAGTGAAATGTATTCGTGTTGTTTTGCAAAAATTAATTTAAAAAAACATAAATTTAAATCGAGCAGAAAATATTGAAAATATACGTAATCCAGAATTAAGAATTTGTTTTTTTTTTGTGCAGTAGACTACATTTTCACACACAGTGTGGAGGAAATCCAAATGATTAGTAAGAGGTTTCTTGGACAAGCTGTAAATAAACATCGAACCATAGTGTGGCGCACATTAAAAAGCCACAAATATTTTTCCTAAAAATACGAAAAGCACCAAGAACTCCGGGAAGAAATTTGAAGCTTCCTTGTTGCTTATTAAAATTTGTTCAAACTTTGCACATGAGATAGTTATACCGGCCCCTTCAAAAAGTTTTATTACAACTTTGCTATAAAGTACTCAAAACGGATTGAAGAGAAGCGACTGCATCTAGAGATAAAAAATACAATGACATTTATAAAAATATGGTATATACTTAATATTACAGTAGAGTCGGCAAGTCGAGACAATTAATTTGTATTAAAATAATACAGCAACGGGTTTGGTAGATTACTGAAGAAAAACGAAAGAAATAACTCTAATTTTCTTAGAATGACAAACATCGACAACAATTTACAATGGACACGCAGATGAAGTGCAATACAATAATTATTCATTCATAATAAAACTTCTTAATCGAAACAAATTTAGTACATATTAAGTCATAGCAAAAATATTAAAATTGGCGATAAATCTATCTCAATGATATTTGCAGCATAGTTTACAAAAAAATAAAACATTTCAGCGCCAAGGGTTTTGTCTATTACTTATCTACTAAACCCCCTATTTGCCTGTACTTTCATTAACCTATTCTATTGGATGCAAAATGCCAATGTGTACTAATAGTTTGTGCGATCTCATTCGAATAAACCATTGGTGAACTGCGTAGGGGTAGGAATAACACGGAAGTCAGTGTTTTCATTGGAATATAGTGTGAAACAAAAAAATAATAAAATAAACAAGAAGCAAACGACATAAGCACAACTTAACCTGATTCAGCAAGTTTGAATAAAAAGAAATGCTTTAACTTGTCGAAAAAATACAATTAACAACTAAAATGAAACCTCTCATTTAAGTGGAGACCCAAGTAATGTTAATTTCAAAACAAAAGTGGAGGCGATGATTGCCAAACCTAATAGTATATACCTATAGCTTATTTATTGAAATATTTTTATTGTTTCGAAATAACACCTTAGTCGAAGTTAAGTAAATCGTGTGCCAAACAAAACGATCCACTATACGATGTGGAAACCCGTACAAAAGTTTCTTGGACTTATACAGGGTGTCCCAAAAGTGTATTTAAATGTATATTTCGTCATTTTTTGATTCCTTGGTCAACGTAAAGGCCACGTTCTTAAGAAATTCCTATTGCAATTTTCCTATTCCAGTTTAGGCAGAAATTGAGGTTACGAGTTTTTTTTTTGTGATGTGTACATATAAAATTGTGTTGCGACGCTACTGATCCAGGATTGAAATGAAAACTTAACTACAGACCAGACTTTCAGTTTGACAGATACGCCTTATCTTATACAGGGTCTCCCAAATAGGTGGAACACCCTATATTTTTATTCCGATGTCAATTCAAAAATAAGGTGGGTTTGTACAAAAAATATTTGTATGCCCAGTATCAACAAAATTATAATATTTTAAATCTTCAGGAGAGTCTTTTGTTATAAATTTTTTTCGTATCTCCTATAGCTCTCCAGATAGTATAATGGATTGTTTTATTTGGCACACGAAAAACTTGATTTTCGACCATTGCCGATGGTAAATTTAAATAAATTTACTTATTTAGTTCTTAAGAACTTCTTATGGAACCGTCAAATTGCATCGCCCTGTATACGCGCCGCATGAACAACATGAGTGAGACGTCGGCACGTTTTTTT